GAGGGAGATGATGACTAGGAATATAACTTTGAATGTTGTGATGGTTGGAGAGGCAGCCAAATAGGCGCGGCTGAAAGGGAGATGCCGAAGAGGAAGAAGGGGGGGTGAGGGGGATATGGAGGGACGTCGAGGAACGTGCAAAGAGAGATGAGGACAACAAAAAGAGAAGATGGAAGAATAAATTGAGGGTAGAGGTAGAGGGAAAGATGAGATGGGAGAGGTGGGTTGGAGAGAGAGGGAATGAGAGATGGATGAAGAAAAAAGGAAACGAGAGGAGTGGCGTGAGAGAAATGGGTTGGAGAGGCATGAAGAGAAGGGGAGAGGAAATAAAGCACATACAATAATGCAAAAGCAATACATCTTGCAGGAATTGAACTGTTCAGGAGTGGTGATGATGGCGGGAGGAGTGCGGTGAGAGTTGGAAGTTGCGTTCGTCTTCATCCGTGTAGGCGCCGAGCGGCGTTTGCCTACCCGACAGCCCGGCGGCGGCGACAACCAACACCTGCAAACAGACGCACGCTTCTATCGAGTAAAAGCTGGACATATGGCGGGATAATTTTGACGCCTTCTAATTTCGACACAATTTTGGCTGCTGCCCGTGGAGAAAAACTTGGTCAGCATGGCCAAGTCGACAGCGCAGTTGGTCGTGTCCGCAGCCTGTTCAAACGAGGCTATCGTGACACCCATCTACTATACTATACATATATACATGCGATATGAATATCCTCGCATCTATCAGCCTGGTCTTTATTATCTCGCGTATCTTTATTATCTCTCTTATTACTCTCATCCTCCTAATACACCTTGCCTACTCTCCAGATGCATCATTCCATCCATCCAGCGTCTTCTTGTTACTAGAACACTCTCGACTCGTACTTGCGAATTTCTACTCCATTTACCAGATCCACCTGCAGAATCCTGCGCAACACGCCTTAACAGCAAAGTTATCTTCGACTGCCATTGCCTCGCTTGCAAGTCGCCTCCGACCCAATATGATCAGTCACCTCACGAGAACGTCACACCCATGTGTCCGGCTCCTCGCTGTCTGTTCCGGCTCTCTCGTCCATCCTACCACGCCGAGTCGCGCAGTATACCCCCTTATCACTCACCACCTCTTCTACTCTTTTTTTGCTTTTTGCTTCTTCTCCTGTTCGATACATCGGGCGCCCACACCATCAGCTTCATCTCCCTCAGCCACCACCCGCCATCCATCCGTTCCAAACCCAATCGTGACAATCTCGCCTGTCACACCTCCGACGAGGACAATCCGCGAGCGCTTCTTTCTTTTTCCAAATCCGGATCGTCTCACCCGCGCCGCGCAGCCCTTGTCCCCCCCCGTTCCTCCTTCACTATACCCCGTCCCTTCCTACACTATACGCATTTTCCGAAGCAACGAGCCACTTTCCTACTTGTTCCGTCTCCAGCGTGCCGAGTATATCTCGCGGTTCTATCAACACAGCCCCCCCTGTAACAGCCGGTCTGTCGCTTCGCCCTCTGGTCACGTTTCAATAGTCTCATTCACCACCATCATTCACCTATAGCCGCATTGCTCGCTGCTAAATGCCGAGCGCGGTGTTGCTTTTTTTGACCATGACCCCCGTTGGCTACCGCCTGGATCCTATATAGAACAAGCTTGGTTATTAGGTTGCGCCACCGTCTGGGTTGGTCACCCCTGCATCCCGAAACGCGGAGCGCCTGTGTTGGACAATCAGATCGGGAGCTGTCACAGATTCGTCTCGCCCCCTCTTTTGGCGCGTGGCGATGCTAGGCTACCGCTGTTGAATAAGATGACAAAAAATAAGATGAAAAAAATAAGATGAAAAAAAATAAAATCCATCCATCAATTACACAAAAGCGCCAAATAGACCGTGTGTACTGGCAGTGGCCGGTGGTCGGCGCGCAAGTGGTCAAGAAGCATATCGGGATCTGCCCTGATCGGAGACGTTGCTGCAGCTACACGACTCGAGCCAAACGTTCCAAACAGAACCTTGCAGAGTAAAGCGGACTAAATCGACACGATCAAAGGACCCGATTCCTGCATCCGGCAATCAGCCCTCAACCGCCACATCTGTTGCACAATACCGGGGCCGCAGTCTGGCTGTGACAGTTGTGCGACACCCTAGCCCATGCTCCTGCTCTCATGCAGGCGCCGCTCGAGGCGGATCATTACCCTCCAGGGTGAGATTTCCTGCATCAAGAAATCGCCGGCGAGGCAGGGCATGATGGGTAATCGTCGTCATGGGACCTGTGGCATTGGCAAGTCCCCCACAACCTTTGTGTCGGAGAGCTCCGTTGGCCACGTCGGCGGCGGGACCCCAAGCTTTTTGTTCATGACCATGATGGGATGAAAATGAATACCAAGACGAGAAATGTTTGAACCTTGCGGGCTGTGTTTGCAAAATGTATAAGTAGCTACTCTCATCCCATCTTCAATTGTCCCTTTGCCTTCTCTCCATCACACACAGCTCAACGCCTTCTTCTCTTTACTAACAACTTACACTCCCTACGACCTGGTGTCGCCCATTCATTTCGCTTTTACAACTTAATTCATCGGCCTGGTAGTCGCTCACTTTTACTGCTCTTTTTCAATCTTTTTAATCCAACAACACCAACACCAACACCACCGAACCGCAAACATGGTCCGCCTTTCCATCGCCGCTCTCCTCACCTGTTAGTAGCCCCGTCCTCGACTTCATCCTCTCGACCTCCATTCCCCCGACACAATATACTAACCAACAGCACAGTCGCCCTCACCGTCTTCGCTGTCGGTGACCCCGCTGGTGCCGCCAATGTCGGCAACGGCCAGGGCAAGCAGTTCATCACCGGTGGCTGCACCTCCGATGCCGACTGCGCCTCGGGCTGCTGCGCTGGCCTCGACGGTGGCGCCGTCTGCTCCGCCCGCGCCGTCGCCAACGCCGCCGGCAAGCAGGGCTGCGGCTTCAACGCCGCTGGGGCCGGCGCCGGTGCCGCCATCGGCAACAACAACAACAACAACCAGAACAACGGTGCCAACAATGGCAACGACGGCAGCCAGAACTGCGCCCGCTCCTTCACCGCTTAGGCGCATCGACTTTGTGTGAGACACGGGGAAGCACATGAAAAGGGCGCGCAGATGGCCTCCCTCTTGCTGGTCCAGTAGCTTGGAACAGGGCTCGCTCCTCTGGACGCAGTATACATACCACGGAGAAAGTTTTTAAAGTCACTTATTGTAGATTCAAATTGATATATTCCTTCTCCCCATTTATACTTCTACATTACAAAATGTGTCCATCTCTAGACCCAAAACAAAATAGGTATACGAAAAAAAAAGAAAGAAAAAAAGTAGCGAGGCCCCTGGTGGTGGTCGTCTAAATTTTCTGGGAGAAACCATTCTGCTCGTTGGCAGAGATGGAAGCGGGGCGGTTGCTGCTCTCGTTCAACTCGTTCTCGTCAAAGTAGTCGCGCGTGCCAGTCGCCTCGCTGACCTGGTTGGTCGACAAGACGTACTCCTCCTTGTCAATGTGCTTGAAGATGAACCAGAAGCCAACCGTGACAATGCCGCCGATAATGGCAGGACCACCAAAGACCCAAATCAGATGCGGGTCAGCGATGGCGGCCGAAGTGGCCAGGTTGACAATGTAAGCAAAGCCAGTGTTAAACAAATTGATCGACGACACTAAACCACGCATGTTGACAGGGGCGCGCGAGTAGGCAATACCGTATGCAGGGACGTTGATGAAGAGCTCCGAGAAACCGCCGAGCGCATACGGGATCGCCTCCCACCACAGAGAAATGGGGGAAACGAGGCCGTTGTCGACACAGCGGGGGTCCGAGGAACCGTAGTAGCCGCAAGGGTTCGTCTCATAGGCCTTCCAGCAGAGAAGGGTATATCCAATACCTCCAAGCGTGCTGATGAAGTAGCCGGTTGTGATACGGGCAATGGGGCCGTAGTGGATGCGACGGTTGCGAAGAAGGGGATACAGGCCGTACTGCACAAATGTTAGCCTTCTATATTTTGGAGAGTCGTCATAGTATATACTTACGTTGAGAATGGGACCGAGTACAATAATACTCAGACTGTTAAAGTTGCCAATGACATCGTTGGGGACACCGTTGCCACGAAGCATGGTACCGAGGTAGTTGGCAGAATTGCCCAGACCGTTGTCGTTCCAATACTGAACGGGGAAGAAACAGAACATTCCAGTGGCCTGCATAGTACGCTTTACATCCTCGACAAAGGCGTCGTTGTAGCGCGTCTCAGAGCCGCCTTGGGCCGCAATGACGGAGGGCTTCGCAGCATCCCACCAGCCAGTCTTTCCGATGCGGAAAATGCCGCCCTTGGCCATGCAGTGGCCAATGACGCGAAAGACGTTGACAAGATCAGAGCCACCCGGCTTGTGTATGATAAGACGAGGCTTGAGCCAGATTAAAAGGATGGGGAGAGGGATGTAGAGAATCAGAGGCAGGGTAAAGGCCAGCCACCAACCCACGTATCTAGCCGAGTAGGAAGTGGCCGTCGACATGAAAGCACCAATGTTGATGAGGAGATAGAACCACAGCATGGCGCGCTCAGCAGTGTGCTCGGGATCCTCAATGACACGCTCGCCGCTCTTGAGGGTGATGACTTTGGGTACATGGTTTCTCATCTGATCGAGAAGTAGAGGGGTGACGTTGGGCTTGAACATGGCTGTGACGTGTTAGACGAGGCTGAAAATGGTGGAAAAATGTAGACGTACCAGCACCGACGGCCAGAATGTAGACACCAATGAAGAATGGAATCTTGGCAGTGCCATCTTCGAGAAGCGACCGGGCACCACCAGCAATGATGAGGACGTGACCAAGACCGCAGAGCATGATGCCCCAGAAAATCATGGGGTAGCGACCAAATCTGGTATCAGCCAGATATCCGACGAGAAGAGGCAGGGAGTAGGCGAGGAGGTTGAACGATTGGCCCGTGGCGTTGGCCACCTTTTCGCCGAGGCCCAAAGCACCCTGGGTGCCCTGGCTGCCATGGGGGACAGCGCCGAGACCATTGCCGCCGACCGGGAGTGGACGGTTGATGTAGTTGGTCCAAATTTGGGCACATCCGTAGTAGGAAGCTCTCTCGCAGAATTCTACGGCGCAGAGCAGGTAGGCGGTGGCGGGCAGAGCACCAGGGACACGGCGTAGCGTCTCGAGCTCCTCGTCGGTAGGCTTGCCCTCATAGTCCTTGTTGAGAATCTCAACATCATGGCGGTGCGGCTCAATCCTCAAGTCCTCTGTGCTTTGCTCCGAGTCGGCAAGCTGGACTTGCTTGTCGTCAGCGAGGTCGACGCGCTTCTCAGTGTCCGCTTTATAGGTGTGTTAGCCAGGGTATGCCCGTGTGCCCGTGTTGCACCGTCGCGTGGCACACTTACACATGATGTCTGTTTAATCTTGCGCAAGGGCCTTTCTGCGGTCAACAAGAAAACAGTCGAGATCAAAATCTGAAAAGACAAGTCAGGGGAGCTTGGACGCACAGGACGGGGGCAGCACGAGGTTTTGTAGCACCAACCAAGGCGGGCATACAGAAATCCCCAACCGACCACTTCCAGAGTGGCGAGGGAAGCACAGAGACATATCTCTTGGCGCTAGACATGGTCTAGTCCAGCTACCCCGAGGTGGTGGACAGGCGCTGATTCCTATCAGGACCCAAGGCGAACCCTTGCCGCCTCCCCCGCATGCCCTAGTAAACACAGTCCACATACATGTCCAGAAATGAACAATACTGTGACCCGCATTTGAGGATAGCGGCCGACTTTCTCACCGAAAACGAAGGCACAGCTGGGCGCCTTGCTTTGCAATCGGAATGGGTCATGTTGCTATCTCGTGCCAGAAATTGCCAGGGCAATCAGGCAGTTCTAGTTCAAGGAGATGCCTGATAACCGCAACACTAGCGAGTCGAGCTACATACCGACTCAGGGTTGGATAATAAACGACCACTTCCGCGCTAGCTCGCGATACAAAAGTTCCGGACCGTTGGCCATTTTGGGATGAGGCGTGCTCGTAAACTGTATTGGGGCGGATTGTGCGACAAAGTTTATAGTCCCGGTCCACGACCAACCACATGGCGCTCGCAGTCGGGCGGGTGCCGGATTTCCGTTCCAGGAGTAATCTAGTAATTCGTAGGACAGGAAGCAGTATTTTCGTCGTCATGGCGTTGGGGCTAGTGATGAGGCAAGTCACGCCTGCTAGTCGGCCCTCGCGAGGATGGTTTCAATCTAGTGCGGATTCAGCTTGTTGATTGAGCCTGCATCAACTTGTCAGCATTGTCGGCACGCTGGACAAAGACCCAGCTCTAGTTCCAGACAGCCTGACAGAGGATTTCTTGGCAGATACGAATGAGATGTCTCTTCATCCGCCAATCCTTGTAAATCGCATCATCATGACCGGTGTGAATTGGACGCGCATTGATTGGACAAGCGCTTGGATGGCGTACAAAAGTTCCTGGGCCGCAGCCACGCTGCTGGAAATACTGGACGAGGCTTGATTGGATCTTGCGCGGAGCTGAGAACGAGTTCGTTTCTGGCACCCTGACCGGGTGGCGTTAAGCTAAGGAGGAGTGAGAGCTCAATTCGACGGGATGAGCGAGGCCCATCATTTGTGTTGTGCTATTTGCGTGGTCGCGGATGGTTACGGATGATCACGCCGACGGAACTGGTGGTGGCTAACCAGATACTGCTCAGCAAATAATCACCCAGTTTCTTCATCGCCCCCCCGCCGCTGTCCCCGTCGCTCGCTCGTCCTGTCCCCTCCCTCTCTATGCTTATTATTCGATGCGTAAAACAGGCAGGCGGACCACGATCAACCCAGCGCCTCAGCTGAGGCATCTCGAGCGGTGCGACGTTGGCCGAAGCGACGTTGATTGTTGGCTGGCTACTTCTTTGCTCTTCCAGGCTCGAAACTGACGTTTGAACGTCGTTCAAATCGCTTCCTGGCCCGGGAACAAGCAGACGGGAATCTCGTCTTGGCAGCACATCACAGAATCGAGCGCCCGACTTGGCAGAGGGACCGACGGCTTGGCAAGATTTGGAAGGGAAAAAAACAGACCTCAGCACCACCCAGGCCTGCTGTAACGCTAGTTATGCCGCACTTATCCATTCCAGCTAAGTGGTGGTGGCGCGTCTAGTGGCGGCGGGCTGCCTGACTTGGTGCTCTCAGACATGTGGCGGCGGGCTTCTGGAAGGTTTTCTGATAACTGCCTCGCACGAGTTTGCGGCCCTTTTTTTTCACAAATTGAGCCGCATGTGCCGTAGATGGGTTGAAAATTTTGATGATGCCGAGTCGTGATGGTGGTGAAGCTGAGGGAATTACGTGGACAAACTACGGCAGCCTATAGGTGAGTTGTCGCCAAATCCCAATTCACACCCAGTGTGTGGTTAGATATGAGAAAATGCGTACGCAAGTGGGCCGTTATATTTTTTAGATACATATTATCCTTATAGCCAGTTAGCAGCTAGCAAGCCAGCCAGCCAGCCAGCCAGCTAGCCAGCCAGCAAGGAAGCCAACGAGGAAGCTAGCCAGCCAGCC